GGTGTCCCCAAGTGCCGGCAGTTTGAAGTCCATGGCTCCCTTCATAGGACTTCCACCCCACCCACTCCCCAAACTCCTGGTGTCCTCCTAATAACCTGTTTTTAAAAGTGCAGATTGCACTGCAATTACTAAGGTGAAAACAAAAATGTCAAAGTGCTGGTCTGAAAACAACCAATTCCTGCTATTCATATATTGGTAGGTGGGCGAGACTCCCCATCCCAGACACTTGGAAAAAACAAGCCTTTCATAAATGACCAGATCACATCAACTGCACAGCAGAACACAAGTGTCATTTTATTCCTTGATGTATTGAAACCTGTAGAAACTGCCATCTCCTAAGGAATAAAGCCCATGACCGGGGGGCCTCCTTTCCCCCCTCAGAGCTAAAAAGTTCAGTGATAAAAACAGGTCAGCTAACTCATTCACAACACACAGAACAATCTTTGGAGAGGAATTATGCTTGACACAGATTTGTAGCTGAAAAAGGATTTGCCATGTTGCCATCTCCTCCCTCCCCACCCTATGTAGTTATAGGAGGGATGGTGCTAAACTTTGTAAGTGATTCCTAAAGCAATGGGTCATTACTGATTAATTTTTTTTAAAGCCATATGACATCACCACAGTCTGTGTTTTCTCTCACCCACTAGTGACAGCCAACGATGCAGATGGGGCAGCAGACCCACATGATAAAATGCATAAGTCTGCCTGATTGTGACCGGGGAGAGAATGGCCAAAGGGGGCAGCAATATTTGGGGGAGGCAGCCCATGTCAAGGAAAATGTGTTTTTCTGTCTTCAGTTGTGCCTGCAGTAACATACACAATGTTATGCAACTTCTGTTTATGGCAAAGAAGTCAGATTTGCAGAGAGCTGCTCCTGGCTGAGGAAAGTGAAGCCACATCATGTATACTAACCCCAACATATTCATAGCGCAAAGAAAGGGCACAGCTATTTGCACTGCAGAGACATGTAATGTTACACACACAGAGAGACCTTTATTGTAATAAAATGTCTAAGCAAATTATAAAAAAATATTAAAATTATCAGTAGAAAGAATTAAAACAATTAGAAACATAAAAATATTAAATATTAAAATATGTCAACTTATACTATTTATCAATATCTACTACAGTCATACCTCAAGTTTCATCCGCTTCAGGTTGCGTTTTCGTCTTGTGTCCTGTGGCAACCCAGAAGTACCAGAATGGATTGCTTCTGAGTTTCGCCACTCGCGCATGTGCAGAAGTGCAAAATCACACTGTGCGCATGTGCAGACATGGCGCTTCTGGATGCGAACTCTTCAAGTTGCAGACGTGCCTCCAGGACGGATTACGTCCGCAACTTGAGGTTCCACTGTATTTATTAATGGTGGCACCTTCTTCCTCAGGTGGCTGTGGTCTCTCCTACCTTGGAGGTTTGCAAGCAGAGGTTGGATGGCCACCTGCCAGGGGTGCTTTAGCTGAGATTCCTGTATTGCAGGGGGTTGGACTAGATGGCCCTTGGGTGCATTCCAGCTCTACCATTCCAGGATTCTATTATTAACACTGATGTCTATTCTGCCTTGGCAGTTTCTCAGTATTTATAATAAGCAAGAAGGAGAGATGTTTTAAACAGGGGTAATGGCGATGGTATGCAATTTTAAAATGTATTCCCTACTCTTCTGTTAACAATGAAAATGTTAGTGAATAAATGAATGCTTTTATGAGGGGAAAACAGCACCTATTATAGCTCACACAGGAACCTGGCTCTCTCAGGGATGATCATATAATAGCTTCATTCCAACGGACTGCTCTTTCACAGCAGGCTAGACCTCAAGTTGCAGAAAATCCACCGGGGGGGGGGGGGCAAAATTGCTTCTTGTGCTAAAGATGTATACTGAACAAGGAAAGCAGATTCTAATCTTTTTCAAAAGCAGATACAGTGGTACCTCGGGTTACAGACGCTTCAGGTTACAGACGCTTCAGGTTACAGACTCCGCTAACCCAGAAATAGTACATCGGGTTAAGAACTTTGCTTCAGGATGAGAACAGAAATTGCGTGGCGGCAGCGGGAGGCCCCATTAGCTAAAGTGGTACCTCAGGTTAAGAACAGTTTCAGGTTAAGAAGGGACCTCCAGAACGAATTAAGTTCTTAACCCGAGGTATCACTGTACTCTGCATTTTAATCTTGTATGCCCATACTAGCCAGTTCATCTGTTCATTTGGAGAAAAAGAGTAAGCCTCTAAGAATTGCTCATCTCTGTTGTTTGAGAGACTTCCAACTGTATGATTCACAGGAATCCCATCTCACCATCACACCCGCCCCTTAGGAGTTACTGCTAAAGAGGAGAGGTCTTCTGGTCGTTGCTGAAACACACCAGAAGTTAAATGCAGGAAAATGGGCTGGGAGTTTTCAAAGCAACTTGCTCCTGTCTCCTGCCACATCCATTTCACGCTGCCTCACCCACCACGTCACTCCATGCTCTAAACTTACCGATCAATAATGGCGCACATATCAATGCTGACGTTGGCGAAACTTCCCAGCTTTCCTTGTTCTACTGCATGCAAATCCACCAGCTGATCATCGACATGAATGAGCTGCATGCAGCCTTGGAATGAGAGCTGAAGAAAACCTGTATATAAGTAAACAGACAAAATAAGGGTTGCTGTTATATTCAACAGAAAGTTCAGGAAAATCATTTGCATGTACAGCTCAAAGGATACATTGTCATTCCTTTGCCAAAGCACACCTCGGTAAAAATCAAATGCTGGTGGGGGGGGGAGGTAATAAGGGGCTTTTCAAAAAAGAAATATGATAAAGTGTGGGCATTGTCTTTGTGGTGTAATTGCCTGTAACTGCAAGCATGGCTTTTAACTCGAATTGCAAACAAGCCAGAAACTCAGTGATATCTATTAAAAATCTATTCTGGCAAATCACAATTTATTGTGTGAAACTCCACAGTGTTGCACCTTGCTGTAAACAGAGCACCCACAGACGATGAGACATTTATTTATGTAATGGAACCCCTTGTAGTTTTATTACATAAAACAGAAAGTGCTGCAAAAGAACAGCATGTTCCATGGCCTCTTGTCCACTAATCAATGTTTACTAACAACTAAAACACTTTGGTTCGGTGCACTCCAGGAAAAGAGGTGAAGAACCAGCTTCCCATGCTCTTATGGACTTGGACTGAGACAGTGCTGGCTGATCTGAAGATGCGGCTCTGGCTCACTCCACCCCCCACCTTCCCTGCAGGTGCCCCACTGAAATGGGCCTGCAAAGGAGCACTCCCTAGTAGGAGGTTGCCACCCAACCCTAGAAAAATGGGATTGGCCCGTTTTTGGACAAAAGTGCCCAACGTCCCTTTTGGACTTCAAACAGGATGCTTTGTCCCTCGTATTTGAGCTCAACTGGCCCCAAATGGTGGCTGCATCACTGTTGGTGTGGCTGAGGAGAAGCCCAGCCCAAGTGACAATGGAGAGAAAGGGGAAGGAGCAACCATCTCTCCCTCGCCCCCTCCTTCCTTCCCTCTCACTGGTGCTCCTTCTCAGCCGACGCCTGCCAGTCAAGCATGGCACACAGTTGACGCAACTTGGCCCCCTCCGCCATCCCAACCTGACCTCTCCTCTGCCCTGCTCATCTCTTCTGACGCCAGCATGGGGAGCCAGCCGTCTACCCCTGGCCCTGGCCTTCTAAGAGGGGGGAGGATTTGGTGTCACGAGAGTGTTTGTGCCCCCCAGTCCCAACCCCCAACCTGTCCTTGCTCCACCTATCCTGTATTTTCTCCTTCTTGACCAAAGGTGGCAACCCTACCTAGCAGAGACCTCCCCCCGTCACTATTTGTCCGTTGGGCATTCTTTGAGCGTTGGGTCTGGCCGGCTGAAGGCAGCCCCTTGTACAGTCTGGCTTCCCCAGGAGAAATGCTTCCCCATTCCAGAGCCCCTCCTTTCACATGCCAGGCTCCTAGGAAAGGATTCCAAATTACCCTTTGCTCTTCAATGGACATTTCCAACTCTAAATAATAAAAAGCTATACTAGATTTCCTCTGTATCAAAACAAATGAAATAAAACCCTCAATGATATATAATTTTCCCTGGATTTGCTATCCTTGAAAAAATATTTGGGGAAAGACAAATGACTTGCATGCAAAAAATAAAATACAGCCTAATAAATATATCATAATAGGAACAACTTTCATTTTAATCTAAAATGGCACTATAACTTGAGCACTCTGTGGTCCACACGACAGCTTTTATGAAGAGACTGGAAGCGCTTGGTAATTGTTTGTTTACATCTCAAATGCTCTTTGGGCTGAAGGTACTTCCTGTGGTTTGAGACTGCTCCTACTTGCCATTTTTATGTAATTTCTCATTTGAAAATTGCTTTCTAATTTTATTTCATTTGTTCTCTCAGTAAGTTGGATGCATACTTTACCATGCTTAGAGTAGGCCTATTGAAATCAATGGCACAAATTAGGCAGGACTGTAACTGCTTTTCTAGTTTTATGTGCATTTCCATATGATGAAAGCAGGGCAAGCAATTTGTCGGGGGGGGGGCACAGTTGCCCACCCTTTCCCCCCACCCTCCCCACATCATCCATTGCAAGGTCCTTTAATGCCACATGAAACTCAACACAGAAGGACAGAGGAGGAGGGGGAACTTTATGGGAGCGCCAGGGGTGGCAGCTGGGAAAATGCAGGGAAGGAAAAAATGATCAAAGTCCCCCCCCCCCTTTTTAAGACTACATTTCTGGTGTTTTTTTCTCTCCAGGGAGAATTTATTTGCTTTGGAGTATGTGAACGTGCACTTGGAGAATAGTTGAGAGAGAGAGGAGAAACAAAGGGACTCCCTCTCCCCCAAAGGAACTGCGGAAATTGCCTTTACGGTTAGCTCAGATCTGGGCATATGAAGGCGAGAGGCAGGGCCTGCTTCTCCCTTTCCTCTCCTAGGCAACTGGCAGCTGCCATTCGGGACCTTTGTCTTGGCCTGACAGTTCTGGAAGCATGGTCTGCTCCCATGGCAACCAGGGATACAAACAGCATCAGGCTAGTAGGTAGAGAGAGAGAGCGCATAGAGCGGTGCTCCCACCTTCCCTCCCTGCTCCCATCGCAGCATGGCATCCGCCAAGGAGAAGACCGGCACAGACAGCAATGTCATCACACGCGAGCAGCTACTGAAAGAGGAAGAGGTAGGACCTTGGGCCCTGGCCAGAAACACAAGGCGAGGCAGCCTAGGTGGCTTCTAGAATATGCACAGGAGAGCACTCCTCAACTTTCAGGCTGATATTGCAAATATGGAGGAGCCCAGAACATTGCTGCCGGTTAATGCGAGCGTGACACACAGACCTGTGGCAGTGAGTTCCACAGATTAATAAGTTCCATCTAAGTCCAAGGCTGAATGCTTCATGGGAAAACTGTAAAAACGTTCCTCTTTGGCCTTTCAATTCAGCTGTCAGGATTAAGCAGATTTTAATATAATTGTATATTTTGTCTCTATTGCAGATATTTTTTAAATAGTTATTAACTGCCCCGAGTTATTGGGAAATGCCAGGTTAGAAACTGAGCTAAGTTTGATGGTTCATGGATATTACACGTGTCTAAAACGTGACTGGAATTTTTAAAATTACAAATAAAATGCCCCCCTTTTAACAAACAATATTGAAACAACTTCATTCGAAATCCCCACAAATATGTCCAATCCTATGCATGTCAGCTCAAAAGTAACTTGTCCCAGTGAATTAAATGAAATTTACACCCATGCCAGTGTGTATTGGAATGTAGCCTTTCACTCTCAAAATGGATCCTGGATTTCGCTTCATATAGAATTCAATAGCAACTCTGGGATGTCTGAAAGTTTCTCCTGAGAACATTCCTTCAACATTCTTCAAAATCGTTATAGAATTTTTGCCTGATCAGAACCTGATTTTCCTCACATTTGCCTTTGCCAACTTTTTTGTCAGCTGTGGGTGGCTACGGACCATGTGTGGCCTACACTTTATTTTCTTACATTTATATTTCACCTTCCCCCCATCATTGTTCCCAAGCTGGCACAAATGTCTTTGCAGGATCTCTCCCATCCAGGCACCGATAAGAGCTGTTTATCTGTTTAGCACCAATATGACGATGGTCTCCTGTCAACGTCTAATGATGTGATAAGAGTAGCTAGTTAGCCAGTTGACTGACCCTGTGGAGAGACATATTGGACTACATTCCCACAAGCAATAGTGAATACAGGATAGTGAAGATCTAGGAAAATATTTCTCATCACATGAGGAGATTCTCCAGAGCACTGGCTCCCCCTGTGGTTGCATATCTCCTGCATTACGTTTGCAAATGCCGACAAAGAGCCAGCTGCCAGCATCCCTGGGGTGGCATGAGAAAGGGCTTCTGTTTCTCCCATTAGGAACAGGGTACAAACTCGAATTTTTGCCAGGGGGCTGGCTGGGCAATCAGCCCCAGGCGAAGTCTCTAGAGGGGAGCCACTGAAGCTCCCAGCTTGCGGGGGGCTTCCTCCGACCGCAGCCGGCTCCGGAGTCTAAAAGGGTCCTTGGGTGTCGTAGTCCTGCGCTGCTCAGCCTCAGCAGAGCTCAGTGGCGGGAGAGGCCAGCCAACCAGCCAAGTCTCAGGGGGGTCCTTGCCTGGAGGCAGAGTCCATATACAAGGTTCAGTCCAGTCCTAAGGGCAGGGGCATCTCAGCTCATGTAGTCGGACTATCCGGGGGTCAAGAAAGCCAAGAGTCCAAGGTAACGAGAAGCAAGAAGCAGCAAGGTCTGGCCAGGTGAACATTGTTTGCAGCAACTGACTGAGGTTGGAAACCCTGCTTAAGAAAGCTGGAGCCAGCTGGCTCCTGTCAGGAGCAAGAAGGCTGATCAGCAGCAGGTGGAGTCACTCTGCCTTTGGCTCCTTCAGGCTGCTGCTCAGCAGGTGAAGCTGACTCCTGCCCCATGACATTCGGCACCAGAGTGTCTTTGGTAGTGTGGATCTTGAGCTGCTAAGCATCGGAGGGATGCTAATTTGCAAAGGGAAGCAGGAAAACCTGGAAACGATCCTCCTTCCCCTTTCCTCCGGTCTGTTTTTGGAACTGTGTGCAAAAGAGAAATCCTGGAGAAGTTGATCTCCAAGCAAAGTTGAAAAATGGAAGTTTTGTTGCTTTCTTCTTTTGTTTCCCTTAATGTCTCAGAGATCAATTAAAAGTGGTGAAGAGATCAGAACACCACCTCCTGTCCTTTTTTGGGGAACAGAAGCTTTTCTGCAGCCCATTGTGTAAACAATTTAAATGTCAAGTTCACAAGATAAGCACTTTGGAGTATTGCTTGCTTATGTGTGCTCTCTCTCTCTCTCTCTCTCTCTCTCTCTGTGTGTGTGTGTGTGTGTTATGTGCTGAGTTGAATAGGATTCAAAATGCAGCAGTCTGATTGGTCCACAGGAGCCACCCAATCCAGCTCCAGGTGGAAGTGAATCCACATCCTGATTGGCCTACAGGAGAATCCCGGAATTAGCCAATCACGTGCAGTCCATTGTGTAAATAATGTATATAAAGCAGATATTTTGGGGGGACTTTCATTCCTCCTCACCACTATGAGCTGAATAAAGAGCATGAAATCCACTCTGAGTATATTTCAGTGTGTTTGGCTCTAGAGGACAACATGCATGTTTACAGCATGTGAAAGAGGGCACTGCTTCATACAATCAGCTACAAAAACGGAGTCCTCTTTATACTGGAAATAAAATACCTGCAATGAAAGAAATGTGATGCTGACATACAAAGCATTTTGTATTCATCCCTTCTTGTAATTTGGAAGGAAAATGTAGCTAATCCACTTTAAATTCTTTAATTGGAATGGTTCAGCAGCCGGCAATTTTTTAACAAACTTGTGGAGTTTTTTATTTTATTTTATTCTTTAGAGCCAGAAACTGGAAGCCTTACTACTCAGAAGTAAGTCCCACTGTCTTTGTGCCCTTTATGAACAAATGTGTTGACCTGTGTATGTGTGTGTGTGTACGCAAATGCACGTGTGTGTGTGTGTGTGTGTGTGTGTGAGAGAGAGAGAGAGAGAGAGAGAGAGAGAGACTAGGTCTTTGCCCTGAGTGACAGAAAGCCTAGTTTCAGCCCTGCTTTTGCTTTGCACTAACTATCTTTCATTGCATTTCAGATGTTAGCAAAAGCTCAAGCATATGCTAAATTGCTCCGAAGGTAAATGGATTTTGAAATCCTGTTTTCTAACTGTGGACTTTAGTGGCTAAAAGCCTTTTTCTCAGTAAAGAAACAATGACACAGGCTGCTTCCAGGGTGGCAAAGCTTTTGACACCCAGCTGAAAATGCAGCTAGGCAAAAACTCACAAATTGATGATAAACACCAAAACCTTCCAGACCCCACGGCCTGATTAAAGCCAGTCTCTGTGCTGGGTCTGAAAGCCACATCAGATGTTGGCTGTGGCCGGCAGATAAGAGCCATTCCTTTGCTCTGGATGGCAAAGCATAACCAGCATCTGTGTGATTCCTATGGATGCTCACGACATTGCATTTAGCTATGAACTAAAGGACAACCCCCACACACAGAATTATGTGTTTATGTGAAACATTTCTATACCACCCTTCATAATACAGAAGCTCACAATAATACCAATGCATTTCTCCAAAAAACAACAGGTTAAAATACAACAAAACATAAACATCACGTTGAAGCCAAACCATTCTATTAAAATCTTTGTTCATTTCATGCTCCACTTTCTGCATTTTGTCATATGGTTCATTCCTACAGTGGTTCCTGGTTTGAGGATTGCATGAATAGGGCTCACACATTTACGCATGTTTATTTGCGCATATGCTGGAGGGATGTATGTGGGGTTAGTCCCACCCCCTTTAAAAACCTCTGGCTGCATTAACACACAACACTAAGCCATGCACAAGGAGGCTGCACAAAGCCACAGGCTTGCAAGCTTCTCCCTCTCACACCCCATTCTCCCTTTCAGCCAAGAGGAAGACTTCACCAAAGGTTCGTTTTTCATGATTCTTGCCATGTTGTTACAGTAGAACCAGGAATCATAGTTTCAAAGAAAAAAATCTGTTCAGCTCCAAAACATGCTTGCATGTTTCACTAACCATAGTTTGTTTTATACCACAAACCATGATCTGCACTTAGGGACAAGTCAGGAGTCAGGTGAAGAGGCCTTGCCTGCCCGTTTTTGGAAAGGAAGCAGCAGGGCTCCAGGATCGTGCCAGAGCATCACACCTCCTTCCCTAAGATGGGCAAATGCTTCTCGGGCTGTGGGAGGAAGGCAGGATGCTCTGACGGGGTCCAAGAGTCCTCTCCCCTCCTCCCCCCTCCCCCAAGGGTGGTGGTACGTACTGTTGCATACCGCCAGAAGAAAAGACCTGCTTAAAATGCAGTACTGCATTTAATGTAACATGTAGCCTGGCCCTCAAAAAGAAGTTTGGAAATGTCTTCATTCTGCAATTAATACAACAGCAATGACTGGTTTGTGCTGCTCACACAACTTGTCCTGCCTCTGCTTCTGCAGCTGGGAGCGCGGCAAGGCGATGGCCCTGGAGCTGGCAAAACAAGAAGACAGGTGTCTGGAAAGGGCCAGAAAGAGGGAGCAGGCAGAAGTGAAAGAGGAGCTGTACCATGCTAATAAACAACTGAAGATGGTAAAGTTTGAAGACAACTCCCCCCCCCCCCTTTCAGTTTTTAGGCAGGTGCAGCAAGGAGGAAATCCTCTCAGTCCAAACAAGAGGACCGCTTGTTTTCTGAGGCTTGATTCCTACTTTTCATGGGGAGAAAACAACCTTCAGACATGTACAATTGCATTTGAGAAATAATGTCAGCAATATAGTGAAGGCCTTGCTCATACCATAAGGGCATCAGGTGAAAGCTTGGAAGAGAGGAATGGTTTGCATTTCACTGGTAACTTGCTTTCAGAACATGGACATGATGTAGTAATTAAATCTCTAGTCCCCGCACAATCCAAGTTACAAGGCAAAATGTGCAGGTGCTATCCTGCTCATTAGTTTTGTGAACACTCCTTTCAGTGTTTGTTTCTTCGTAACAATGCCAGCAGAAGCTCCTCACTTGCATGCTAGATCCGACCTTATACTGTACACAACACTATTGTCTCATATAAAATGGAACTGATTTGTAGAAAAGACTTTATGACCTGAAAAAAGAGACAATGCCCTTACTTTTGTAAACTAAGATATTTTTTAATAAAAATTATTTATTAAAAACCCCCACAGATAAATAAAGGTGACTGAGAGGCATTCAGAGAGGAAGGAAGATCTCCCTCCTCTGAAGGGAAATGGAATATTAGAAAGTGAGGTAAAAGGTCAATATTTATTATTATCTCAATGAATGAATAAATAAACTGGGAATGGAAAAGAAGGAGTTAAGGGAAGAAAGTTGTTGCAAGAGGAAGAATGAATGTAAAAGGGCTGTGGAAGTCTCGTCTACACCAGGTCACCCAGATTGTACCTGATGCAAATGGAGCCAACCTCAGCTCCTTGGATGGAGCTCATAATTGGTATCCATAGTAAAGGTAGACGTACCCCTGACCATTAAGTCCAGTCGCGGACGACTCTGGGGTTGTGGTGCTCATCTTGCTTTATTGGCCGAGGGATCTGGCGTACAGCTTCCGGGTCATGTGGCCAGCATGACTAAGCCGCTTCTGGCGAACCAGAGCAGCGCACAAAAACGCCGTTTACCTTTCCGCCGGAGCGGTACCGGTTTATCTACTTGAACTTTGACGCGCTTTCAAACTGCTAGGTGGGCAGGAGCAGGGACCGAGCAACAGGAGCTCACCCCATCAAGGGGATTCGAACTGCCAACCTTCTGATTAGCAAGTCCTAGGTTCTGTGGTTTAGACCACAGTGCCACCCGCACCCCAGCATCCATAGTAGCAAGCAGTAATACTGAGTGCAGCCCTTGTTGAAATAGAAAAGAAACAGCAAAGGAGTTGTTGTTAATAGTTTTTCCATGTCCTGCAGGTTCGGCGAGCAGCTTTATGTCATCGCCTAAGTTTTGAGCATCTGCAGTACCAACTGGAATTGAACCACTTGGGCAAGTCATTCTTCACAGAGCGGCTGTGAGCACTTATCTCAGACAATCCAGACCATTATATGCTGATGCTTTTTCATATTGTAGAGAGATTCTTCTTTCAATGTTTAAGAATCAAATGCAAGCAGTGAAAGGAAAGATTAAACAGTTTTTGTTTGAATGGTTTGGTATACACTGGAAGTTGCACATTTTGTTTCTGATAGAGGGCAACTCAACTATACATCAGAGTGGACTCTGGTCTAAGCACAAACAATGCAATGTGTGAATTTGCTTGCCCGTTCTGAGTGTTTGAAAATGAGCAGCACTTTTAGGTTCACTTATAAATCCTCACCACAACTTCTAATTGACAATAAAGAATAGAATCTATGTTACAATCTAAGTTTTTCCCCTTTGTCTGACACAGGAAAAGGAAAAGGCAAGATGCAAAATAATTTCACAATTTGCAGCAATTTATTAAAAAACACACACTAATTGTTGTTTCATTGAAAATTGGTAATGATTAATTGCAGGATGTTTTTAAACCATCCAGAAAATGCAAATTCTACATATTGTGATTATTGCAGGTATTACGGTGCCAATAAATTAGAATTAGTGCTTTGCAGGCAGTCTTGAAGGGTCAGATTCTGTTCCTTCATCCAGTACCAGACTGTATGGGAAAATATTAGAAACAGCATAGCATGTTTTATGCTGTTCTATATGGTGTGGTTGTAAAGCTCAGATAAGACTACTTTTCACCCTGCAGCAAGGTGAATTCTTTATACCTTGGCATTTTCTATTTCAACCTTAAATGTACAGTGGTACCTTGGGTTACAGATGCTTCAGGTTACAGATGCTTCAGGTTTCAGACTCCGCTAACCCAGAAATAGTACCTCAGGTTAAGAACTTTGCTTCAGGATGAGAACAGAAATTGCACGGCGCCAGCGGGAGGCCCCATTAGCTAAAGTGGTGCTTCAGGTTAAGGACAGTTTCAGGTTAAGAACAGACCTCCAGAACAAATTAAGTTCTTAACCCTAATTTACATGGCTTCACTCCATTTCTGGGCAGTGTCAATACTTGTAAAGATGCCCCACCTTTCCTCCAAGGAACTTGGTAGCTCCTTTTTATCTTCACAACAAGTAACCTGTGAAGTAGGTTAGGCTGAGAGATAGTGACTGGCCCAAGATCACCCAGTTGGCCTCATGGCTGAGTGGGGACTTTGAACCCTGGTCTCTCCCAGGTCCTACTAACACTCTAACCACAAGAGGGACCTGTGGTCTAAAGCTATACCAGGCCAACCCATAATTGTCTAGCCGGCCTGCATAACCCGGTCATGACGAAGTTTGCCAGGCTTGTGTATGTGCTCCTGGCTCTGTTCCTTCAACCCCTTCCATCTAATGTTTTCCACACAGAGAAAGAGGACAGATTATCCACACACACACACACACACACACACACACACGATCTGCCCTGTTTATCAGAGTTCTTCGCCTGGGTGGAAAAAGCAAATAAGAATGAAAATTATTTAATTGGCTCCAATAATTGCTTGCAATTCCTTTGCCATTTTCAGCAGATGTAATAGAAGATAACACAGCAGAAAGCCAGATAATGATTAAATTGCAGCATATGTTTACAGTCTGCATTCTGCATAATAGATTCTACGGAAGGCTTTCTCTTTCATAACAAAGGATCCAAGATAATGCTTGTCATATTTTCAAAATAGCAGGGCCTCCCTCCACAGCCTCACGTCCCCCATATGGGACTATAAAAGGCAATTTTGCTCAGAAGAGCTCTGAAAGTGGAGCATGAACTAGCACAAGTCAGAGGTGCCATAGGCAGGAAAACATTATTGTCCACTGCGGACAGTGATTACTCTTGCCCAACAGCTGAGCTGCTCTGCTGTGTGTCTGCATAGCAAATCTAAACTTCAGGAAAGGTCATCCATCCAAACCAGCCTTGTGGGCCAGCCAGAACCCGTGGCCAACATCATACACTTAGATTTCAGACAGAGATGACAAGGAGTTTTGGAAACGAAGGGGACAAACATCTCTGAGCCATTATGAGCTGAACCATTTCACCGCAATTCATAATGGCTCCCCAACATTCTGCTCATCTACCCGTTTCGCCTTCCTTTCCCAGACTTACAAATAGTTATGAGCCAGGGGCTGACAAATGGAGTTGGTGGATATAAGAGGGAGACCCAAGTAAAAGAACAAAATATATAAAGAGATACATACCGAATAATTATCAATGAAATATTCATACTAGTGGATCAGGGCTCACTGGATAGTGTAGCTACTGATGCTTACAACACAAATGCATAGGACATATACAGCTGACCACAGGTGTCTCAAATAACAATTATTGCAGACAATGTAAAGAAACTTAAAGGAACAGAACGTCAATGCTACCCATAAAGTGACAGACTTAAAATAGAACAGATTTGGATCACACATCAGCATTTGGATACAGATTTATTATTTACAGTACTATGGGTAAACCAGAAGAAGCGTGGAGTTGGGCAAGATTTTGAATGGTTATTGCATTTAATTTATTTGTTTAAATCCACATATCTGGAGGGATTGAATTCAGAATTCGACTTCAATGGTTTTATTTAAAATCTGTTTTATGTAAAATCCGTTGTATTCTAATACTATTTCAAAACCATCCAAATCTGTTCTATTTTAAGTCTGTCACTTTAAGTGTCATCTTTGCATTGTGATGCCAGAATTGCTGTAATGTTCCTTTAAGTTTGGTGCTGGCTTCTGAAGCCAGAGGAAGGGCACCAGCTTGGCGGCTTCCCTCCACCGCATGGATGAGCCAGGCCTGCTGAGCACCAATCCAGGAGAAGCAGAATGGGGCAAAGGACAACCCCCGTTTCCCCTGCTCAGATCAGCTCCATGCTCTGAGGAATTCAGTGTCCTGCACTGACACAAATTTGTTTGGCCCAGCGGTACATGATGTCACTAGATTGTCTTTGCTCAGATCAGCAGGCACAATCCAATGATGGACATGCACACCATCTAGATGTGATTATCTCAGTGCCTTCAGAAGCGATGGGCTCTCTTTGCTGGAGAGATTTCAGCTGAGGCTGGACAAGCACCTGTCAGGGATGCTGTAGTTGGATCTTGCCTTGAGCACTGAGGTGAACCAGATAATTTCCAATGCCCCTTCCAGTTAGGAAAGTAGCACAACACAATACAACAAAATTATGTGCTGGGTAGACAGAACCTATGAAAGAGCACAGAATGTCTGTGTGTCAGAGTTTCCAGATTTACCACGTTATAGATTAAATGTGGCCGACGGAGACTTGAGATAGGCTTTTAAGTACTGTAATAATTTCCAAAAGTAATTCAATGATGTATGTATAAGGGGCAGTGTGAGCTGAATGGCTAATGTGCATAAGAACCAGCCATTCTGCACATTCCCCACATAGCCTGTCCATGAAGAGGGAACTGCTCTTTTTCTGGCTGACATACGTCCTCTCGATGAGGCCTTGAGGAATGTGCGTCTCTCAACAGGATTTTGTACATTCTCTGGGCAGTGCAGTATGCATAATCTCAGACAGGCTCTGGGGAATGTATATATCTCAGTTGCACTTCATAAATTATTAGCCAATATGCATACTATCCGACTGACTCCATAGGACTGAAGCCTATGGATTGCAGGACTGAAACGCATGATTGCAGCTACACTCTGAAGGGCCAAACTGCATCTCAAAATCTGCATTAAGCCCACAACTTCTGCCAGAATGCAAAGCATCCTTTAGCTTTAATTAAAACCTTTCTTTATAATGATCTTAGCTCAGCCAAATGGCTAGGTAAATTCCTTATTAAATTTAAGCAACAATTAAGCATATCTGCCATACTTTCTATTCTATAATTATATGAAACGCAAGTGCATATTTCTTTCCTTTTCATTGTTTTATTTTCCTTGAATAAGCATGCTATTGGGATGGGCTGCAGGCTAGGTTCTTTGTTTTAATTGTACCTTGTTACACTTGAATACAATCATTTTTATTGCTTGCTGCAGATGTTTCTCAAATTAGCACAGGACATTGAACCCACTATCTTTTGCAGAAGGAAATTGTTCACTTCTGCTTATTAACCCAAATTAGTCTTGAATGTCACTATATGGTAATACTCAGTCTGATAGTCACATGCATATATATAAGTTGTCCTTTCTTTGGGGTAGCTTCTCTGCTTAATTCACCCAGGAAGATTCTCCTCATGTGCAGATGATATTGCTAATTCCCTCTCCCCACACCTTCCAAATTGTGACTCCGCTGGACATCAGTCTCAGCTGTTTGTGTTTACTTTTAAGTTGATTCTTCCTCCTACTCCTTTCAACTCCTAGGTTAACTATCTATGAAGAAAAGAGTCAAACAGATCTAAATGAACAGGGGAGAAAAATGTCCAACATTTCTGGCTTCCATGTATGCTTGCCTTAGCATCCCCTCCAGCTTTCTCATACTCTCCAACATTTCTCAGATGAAAATAGGTACATTTTAATCTGAGGAATGTTGGAGGTTATGTGTATCCAGTGTCAACTCTACATGGAGTAATTCCATTAAAATTAATGGACATGACTAATTTATGCCCAATGCAACTACTGTGAGTATAATTAGTTGGACACAATCACTTGTCTTTAAGGAATCACAATATTATTTGTTCTCTTTTCCTCCAGACGAGTTATGTTGCTCTGAGATTTCCCCCTACAATAATTAGAAGATGGTTCTGAAACAGAGAAATGTAGGCTGCTCCCAGACTTTCCATTTTGCTGGTGGGATTCAATCACATACTGACAAATTCAAGTTGCACAGTTAAAGTTTGCATAACAAACAAAAAGTTGGGGGCATCCCTTCTTTTTTTAAAAAAAAAAAAAAAAATTATTACTTTTCCAACAATTTAAACACTACAAAAACAATACAATACAATACAAAAACACTACATAACATTGACACATTAAACACATTGAACTAACAAAACAAAACAAAAACAATAAAATAAATCAAACAATTTCATTATCCCTTCTTTCATTCACTTATTTCCACGACCTCCTCACACCTCCCTTTTTGTATTCCACTTCTGTTAATTATTTCAGCAATTCCTTTCCATCTTCCTCTGTTTTCTATCCTATAATTATCTTAACACATTCTAACCTTATTTTTTCCTTTAATACTCTATTAATCTATTTATACTTAATTCCTTATAACATTTCTACTAAAGCCATATAACTTCATTCCAACATTTTTCTAACATTCATTAATTTTACAGTATTTCTGTAAATAGTCTTTAAACTTTTTCCAGTCTTCTTCCACCGACTCTTCTCCCTGGTCTCGGATTCTGCCAGTCATTTCCGCCAGTTCCATATAGTCCATCAACTTCATCTGCCATTC